TAGACTGGCTGCTAAGTACTTGGATAAGGAACTGGCGGGAAGGTATGTAAACACGGATACTCTACACTTCAGTGACCAATTGGCTCTTAAATTTCAATCTTTCATGCTGAATAGGGCATTAACCCTTGTCCTAAGAAGTATTTTTAAATTGTTTATAGTTTATTGTTGTTAAATTAATATTGATAATATTATATATTGTAGATATGCTTACCCATATTTAATACATATGACTAGGATCACACACACATACAAGCACACACACAAATACTGACTGACTGTGGAATACCAGCGAGTCTGCAGAGCAGCGTTTGTCATCGTTTCTTGCCTTGACAAGATCTCTGGCGGCGTAGTGCCTAAGACACTTAACTCCTAACCAGAAGGTTGGCAGTTCAAACCTACCAGCCACTCCTTGGAAGAATGGTTGGGCAATCTACTTCCATAGTGATACTGCCTTGGAAATCCAAGGAGGGGTGACTATGAGTCGAGTCTGACTCTACAGCATGTTAACAATAACTTGCCTTGACACCATGACAGCTGGTGTTTGCATGTATATCAGAACTTCCATGAGGGATTCTTTCTGGGATCACCAAAACCCAGTCTTTCTTACCCCTTGAGAAAAACATGCTGTAATTAAATTAATGATAGCAATTTTAGCATACTACCACACAGGTTCTACCTGCTTTCATTTTTTTAAGTAAGTAGTTCCTAAACTTTGGTTATTATTAGTACTGAGTCATTTTCTGCTCATTGTTTTAAATGTCACTTTAAGAATTGATGTGGAGCAAATAAAAACAATTTATTTCATCATGAAATAAACATTTTCTAATAACTTTTTATACCGTATTTTTTTTTGTACTGAAATTGCCATTAGAAGAAATGTTTCTGTATAGTTAACTTCATCTTTAATAGTATCTGGCTAAGTTCACTGTACTACCTTGTTTACTTACTAGACATGAAACACATTAATTGCTGTTAATTTCATAAATTATTTTTGGATGTGTTTGAATTAAGTATATGATTAAATTCATTCCTTTATTTACTGGTTTTCCCTTGAAGACATGTCCTTTTCAAAGCTTTCGTATCATTATAAATCTGAGAGGCCTCAATAATTAGTTTTATTACTAATTGAGATTTATGCAGGAGCTGCAGACATTGAGTAATGCTTCTGAATTCTCTCTAGTGAGCATAATGAGAAACTAACTGAATTCATTTTTCCCCAATATGAAGGGTCCAACAAATACAGTTACTAGGACGAGATATGAAGGGACCTGCCCATGATAAGCTTTGGAACCAGTTAGAAGCTGAAATACATTTGCATCGTCACAAAACTGTTATCAGAGCCTGTAGAGGACGTAATGACCTAAAACGACCAATGCAAGCACCACCAGGCCACGTATGTTTGTTTGATACCACTCCCCACTCAACCTCTTCCTTTTCTCTTTAATTGGAACTTTTTCTGTTCTTTTATTGTTACTATTATTATTATTATTATGGTAATATTTAAAACCTTACCAAAGGAAAATAATGTATTCCCTCTGTGAAATGTATTGTAAGAATTGATAGGTACGTGAAGTTGGTGGGAGAGGAGTAGGGATGGCAATAAGTACTTATGCTGTTGTCTTCTTTGGCGTATTAGTGATCCCTGTTAACTTCTAGGACTCCACTAGACTTGAGAAATGGAGAAGTTAGGAGGAAAACAAAGTAGTTTGTGTTGGTTGTGTCAAGGTGATACAAGCAGACTTTTGAAAGTGGCTAAATATAAGGCTGGAGTTCTAGGCAGTGGCCAGATGGCAAAAATTCTTCTATGCAAAATAAAGTAATTTGAATTTTAACCTGACATTCATAGGACTTTTTAAAAAAAGAATAGACTTAAGCAAATTTATACTTTTGGACCCTTACTTTAGTGTAATAAAGAGGATATATTAGTTTAGGGCCAAATTGGAATCAGGGCTTTATTAAAAAGATACTTTGGTAATCTGAGGAGAAAATAATGAGGGCAAGAAAAAGTAGAATTTTAGAGGAGAAAGAATTAGAATTCAAGAAGGCTTGGTGACTGACTATGCTTGGTTCAGTAGGTGAATGAGAATGAAGAGCCTCTGTTACTAGTGTGGGCAACTGAGTGGGGGTACAGGCATCCCCCGATAAAAGAAATGAGGACAACACGTGTTCAGTTTTATACATGATGTGGGTGCTAGTGGGACATCCAATATATATCCAGACTCTGAAATTCAGAAGAGAAATCTAAGTTGAAGAAATAATAGGGAAATCCATGGAATCGATAAAGGTCACCCAGTATTAGTGTACATGAAAAGAAAAGAATAGGAGGCCAAGCACAGAAACTTTTATGGAGTGGAGGATGGAAATGGATTGCCAAAGAAAAGAATCTGAGATGGAGCTGTTAGATACAGGCCACCTAGTAGAGTGGTGAACAGAAACCATGGAAAAAAGAGAGTTTCAAAGAGTGGATAGTCAGTAGCATCAGCTTCTTTCTGTAGGGTTCAAAAAAGGTAGTGACTAAACAGTGTTCATTGGATATAGCAGTACTGGTTGCTGGTAACCATAGAGAAGATAGTTTCGGTGAAGTGGGTGGGGGCAAAACCCAGTTACAGGCATTGTATTTGGGAGGTAAGGGAGGTATGGTGAGGATGAACTTTGTGTAAAGATTAAGAAAAGTGGAAGTGGTAGTTGGTAAAAAAAGATGTAGGTAATTGAAGGGAAGAGATTTGTGGTTTTTTGTCTTGTGTTTGCACATGGTCAGTACTTTGAAACTAGAAGAGGCTTGGAATTTGTTTATATGCTGAACAGTGAAAGACAGAAAGGGAAACATAAAGGTACCAGAGAAAGAATTATTAATAGTGTAAGACCCTTTATTTAAGAGAAATTCCAGAGCACCAGAGAGTGAAGAAGTAACTAATGCTTCAGTTGGAAATTTGTTTTCCAATTCTGTGAATCAATGAAAATGGATGAAGATCTTTAAGAAATTTTTCAGTGAAGATAGACAGTTACCTACTTTCATTTTGTTCATCAGGAGCTCTGGTGGCACAGTGGTTAAGGCATTGGTTGCTAACCAGCAGGAGAAAAATGAGGTAGTCTGTTTCCATAAAGATTTACAGCCTTGGAACCCTGTGGGACAGTTGTACTCTTCCGTATGCAGTTACTATGAGTCACATTGTACTCTAGGGCAGTGGATTTGTTTTTGTGGTTTTGGTATTAGTTCATCAGTTAATTCCTCACATACTTTGTTTTATAATGCTCTGTAATTTAAAAAGAGTATTAATATTAAAGAGATTATTGATAAAAGGGTGAGAAAAATCATGCATAAATTTCACTATTTTAACATAACTACTCTTTTTTTCCATTTTTATCTACTAATCCTTTGATAACTTTCTTAATTACGTACTTTTACTCCATCAAGGAAATTAATAAAGATTTCTAGAAGCAAACTATGTGACCTGGTTTCACTCCATTTGGTATATTATATAGTAATATTTCATTTTCTTCCTTTTTCCCCTGTAAGGATCAAGACTCCTTAAAGAAAAGCCAAGGTGTTGGTCCAATTAGAAAAGTTCTCCTCCTTAAAGAAGATCATGAAGGCCTTGGCATTTCAATTACAGTAAGAAGTAGTGCTTCCAGTCCCCTTTTCTGCTGTTAGCTACTATAAGCACGCTCTTTTGTTGGATATTATTGGGGAACAAATTGTTCTGGATATATTTTCTCTAATACATGAAATTAATCCTCAATGGCACATCACTGTGCTTTATGTGAACATTTTTAATATGTAAATCTGCCTAACAACTGCTAAATAAACCTTCAGTAAGCACAGGTTAGCATTTTTATTATGACCCCCAGGTCATAGTTCTGTGCCCTATAACTGTGATGTCTCTAGGAGCCTTTGGGAATAAATTCAACTTTCTTCGCTGTTAAATTGCTCCAGATTATATTGCTTTTCTCTCTAGAGTGTGTATGATCTTTCTCTTCTCTCATTTCTTTGTTACCATATTCCACTGACTCTTTGATATATATTCTTCTTTTTAAAAATTTGATGTGTTTACAGTTATGTTGGGCAACATTCCTGATAGCAGTCTATTATAAAGTGCGTGTGTTTGGAGTAATTTCACCTGTATTCCAAGTGTGTTGTACCAGATGAATGAATAAAGTGGCTTTACTCTAATTTTCTTTTGGTAATGTGTAGCCAAGTGTAGCCACTTTGTTTCTTTCTGTTGTCACTGTGAGTCAGAGCCGACTTCCAACATCTAACAGCAGCCATTGCATAAATTCATTTGTTTCTGATATTGCTTCATGTAAGAATGTTTCTTATAATAAAATGTTGATCCCGTGGGTATTTATAGAATACCTGCCTTTTTTAATGCACTGCTCTCAAAGGGCATAAATTCTATTAGGAGATAAGATATGCATATACATACATAAATAGCTATAGTGAAACCTGTGAGAATAGGAACTCTTGGGGTTTTTCCCAGTTTTGCGAGTTTTCTGCCTTTGACAAAACACAGCTTACCACTTTTCTTTCTTTTCTTTTTTATTTTAGTAGAACATATTTTGAGTTTTCCTCTCTTGACAGCTTTCTGCCGTACACAGGTTCCATGGTTCTCAGGTTTTTCTGTGTAATGCAACCTAAAATGTGATCGTACTAAATACTATACTTCTGCACTTCTGCCTTGCACATTTTTTCACATTTTAATATCTGGAATTGAGGTGCATCCTCTCAGTTGTTTTTATGGTACATAAAATAATGATGTGTCTTACCCCACTGATGATGATTTAAGCTTGATAAATTATAGTAGTGCTGACTACTAAGATTTAAATACTCCTTTTCACTAAAAGAGTTCAGCCAATTACAGTTTTTTGTTGTTTTGAGGGTTTTTTTTTTTTTTGTAGTTCTGAAATAGATTTTAGAAAAATACATGTAATTAATCATTTTACTCAGATGTAACTCTCTAATACTTGTAGTACCTTATTTAACATTAAGTAGGATTTATACTATAGGTGCTTATTGAGAGATATTTAAAAAAAATAGTTTGGATCTATTTAGAATAGTCTGTGACTATATTTTTCAAAAGAGTAAATTAATTTATTGCTTTTTGTTGTTTTCGTTAGGGCGGGAAAGAACATGGTGTTCCGATCCTCATCTCTGAGATCCATCCAGGGCAGCCTGCTGATAGATGTGGAGGGCTACATGTTGGGGATGCTATTCTAGCCGTCAATGGAGTTAACCTAAGAGACACAAAGCATAAAGAAGCTGTAACCATTCTTTCCCAGCAGGTAAGTTCCCTTTACATAGTTAAAATTGTGTCTATCAGTTGTTCTTTTTAAATCTATTGAATGCTTTATACTTCCTTAGGAGGTTTCTCAAGTAGTGAAGTGTTTGTATGTATAGTACGTAGTTCTCTTTGATTTGGAGCTTTTATAAAGACAATCAGTCAAATTTACCAAAAAAGATACTGCTTGCTTTTTTCCATAGCTAACTTCCAGCAGTTCATTTGCTGCAGTGTCCTCCTCTGTGGAGTAGGGATTGAAATAGAGTTTTGAGGATTAAGTATGGTAACAGTAGGGCCCAGTACTTAGAAAGCAAAACATCATTAGTGACTAAAATGCTATACAAATATAAGGTATACCAAAGGCAGTGCTAGAATTGGATTGATATCACAGTCATAGATTTTTAGAACTGAAATGGTCCTTAGAAGTTATCTAGCCCAAACCTCTTATTTAAAAGGAGTAAACTGGCATTTATAAAGATTAAACAATTTACTCAACATCACAGAGCAAATAAATTTAGATTCTGGAGTAATGCCCAGGACTCATATTTGTTATCCAGTATATTTAAGATGAGGAGCTCTGGTGGCATAGTGCCTAAGGCATTTAACTGCTAACCAGAAGGCCGATGATTCAAACCCACCAGCCACTCCTTGGAAGGAAGATTGGGCAATCTACTTCCGTAGAGATACTGCCTCGGAAACCTCAGGAGGGGTCGCTGTGAGTCGGATCTGACTCGATAGCAGTGAGTTTGGTTTTTGTTGTTTATGCTTAGAATGTTTGTTTTGTGTTTCCCTTTGAGAGGTTGATAGTATGTTGAGATGTTTGTTGGATCATCAGTATAGTATGCCAAATAGAATTGAATCTCAGGATTGAAAGTGAATTTATAGCTTGTTTAGTTCAATTCTAGTGAACATCACTATTTAAATAATTGCATTAAAGGAGACTTGCCTGATGATCAGTTGTCCGTTCTGTTGTTATACAGTGATAATTTTTCTTTGAAAGCTCTTTCTCACATTAAGCCTAAAATGTGTCTCTGTGACAGCTACCCACAGATATAATTCTGACATCTAGAGCTTTACTAAAGACTACAGCATTATCCATTTATCTCCCCAAAAGTGGTATTTTAAAAGCATCATGTGATAAGAGAGATCTAAGAATACTAGCATCTTTAAGGTAGTGTTTTCTGACCCTACTTGACTGACTGATATAGCACTAGAGTGGTATGAATGGAAACTGTGGTGAAGGACACTACAAATAGGCAGTCAGGAAACACTAAGTGCATATTGAATTCTGAGGCATAACCCTGAACTGTTAGGAAAGAGGAGCATTGAAAAGACTGACTTAGTGAATAGAATGAAAAATGGCTTATTTTTTGTTTTGCTCTTTTGAGAAAAAGTAGACATAATGTTCAGAGAGTTGGAATTATCAGGCTAATGATTGTAGTCTCTTATTAAATAATAATTGTAACTTGGATTTTTTTTTATGTAAAATAATCTTACTTTTTACTTAAACATAAAATTGTTATTAAGGAAAAACAATGTAATTATTATACATTTAGTTTAGCATAGTAGAAAGAGTCGAATTTCTGTTTTTCTGTTAACTTATCATATTGGGAAAGCTATCCACCCTCTCTGAAACTTATTCATGTTTTTCATTCACATAAAAGAGAATATAATAATATGGTTATTCTGAGGATTGAAGGATATCATTTTAAGAAAGTGTTACTGGTGAAGATACCTTGATTAGCACTATGTCTTGATTAGTGATAGTTAAAAGCTTTGAGAGCTATTCAGTAAAAAAACACAAAGTCATTGTATAGGAATTTCTTTGATTTAGTTACGGAAAAATTTGTTTGATGCCCGCCAAAGGGGCAAGGAGGCCACATCTCCTGACCTCCTTTAACCCCACAAGAGGAAGACAGAATCACCATCAGTAGCCCAAAGCCTATTCCTGCGAGGCCAGACATGCTGCTTTCATCCAGCCCTTTCATTAACCCTGACACCAGCTGTTCCTCCAGCAGCACCCACCAGTGGCCACACAGAACTCACAGATTATGGGGTTTAATAGGGAAGCACCAGGCTACAATTCAAGTTCACGAACAATGCTCAGTCTCTCTCAGCCTGTTGTCTCTCAGCTGACAGTCTCTCACAGTCCCCTCTTCCAGCAGTACGTGTCTCTCAGGAGCATGTTTTTTTCAGCAGCACATCCTTCTCAGCCAGCAGTCAGAGAGACTTCTGCCTCTAGGAGGCCTCCTTTTGAGCCTGGCAGAGTGGCCAAACTAATCAATCATAACATCAGAATTCTAAGCACCTGAGAGACAGTGAACTTCCCAGGACATTGCTTTGTGCCATTCTCAACAGAAATACCCCAGGTGGATAACTTTAATGATTAGGAGCTCCTCAGTTGCTCACAGCAAATTCCACCACGGAATTTACAAAGTCTTATGACTAGAAAAGCCATACTAGGTAATTTACTATACTGCAGTGCCTTTAGTGTAACTTTATTTAATAATGACTAGTTAAGTTAGATGGATTTACTGAATTGCTGTGTAAAATAAAAAATGGCAAAATGACTTTTAAATTTAATAGTCGTTCCAAAATTCTATGAATTGAATATTCGAGCATCCTTTTTAATTTTAGATCGGTCAGTAAAAATGTGATTGGTAGAAAGCTTCTGTAATGTTAGAAATAACTTATTTGTAGAATATTTATGGGGTTGGTCTAGTCTGATGCCTCTTTCCTTCCTGAGATTCTGGAATTCCATTACTTGCTGTCATGAAAGGAGCTATATCTGAAGTGCAGTTCTTTTCTCCCCATCCCAAATAATTTGAAGATACTTTTAAAATTACGATAACTTGACTTCTTTTCTTTCCCTTTTTTAGAGAGGAGAGATTGAATTTGAAGTAGTTTATGTGGCTCCTGAGGTGGACTCTGATGATGAAAATGTAGAGTATGAAGATGAGAGTGGACATCGTTACCGTTTGTACCTTGATGAGTTAGAGGGAGGTGGTCATCCTGGTGCTAGTGGTAAAGACACAAGTGGGGAAATCAAAGTATTACAAGGTAAAAAAAATCCACTCTAAAATTTATTACTAATATATGTATTGTTGACAAATTTTAAAATAAAAACCATCACATATTACATATTCTCCAGTAACAGCTCTTTTGCTTGTTTACAGTTTTATTGTATATTGGTAACTATGTGAAAATAGTATTTACATGTTTTTCTAGATTCATCTTGGACTGTTAAGAAAAATGCATAACTGGTTACTGGACTAGTAATTATCCTTGAAGAATAAATAAAACTCAAGTTTTATAGACTCTAAAAGAAAGATCAACCTGCCTTTTAGAGTAAATATATCTTAAGGTGATCTCTATCTTAAACCAGGCCTTCTCTCATAAGTATTATATGCTAAGTATGAATAATAGAAAATACATTTTTTAAATTAAAATGTGTAATTTATGTTAGGGAGCTCTGGTAGCATAGTGGCTAAGACACTTGCCTGCTAACCAGACGGCTGGTGATTCAAACCCACCAGCCACTCCTCGGAAGGAAAGTTGGGCAATCCTACTTCCGTAGTGATACTGCCTCAGAAACCCAAGGAGGGGTCGCTATGAGTCGGGGCCGACTCGACAGCACATAACAATAATAATAACATAAATTTATGTTAACATTTACTGAGTTTATTATTTTTTAGCAAAGTAATATTTTGAAAATTTCTCAGTTTCAATTGCTAATATGATAAAAACCAATGATCATGACCCACACAAACAAGGTCTTTGGAGTTCTCAATACTTATTAAGAATGTAAAGGTATCCTGAAACCAAAAATTTTGAGAACTTCTGACATAACAATTTTTTTGGTGAATCGATGAACTGCTGCCCTTTTGATAAAATTTGTGCATTGTGAATTACCTTCACATAATACTGTAGTAGCAACTGCTGTTTGCCCCATGCATCTTGAACAAAACTACTGTAGCAGTATGTTAAAACCTTACATTGTTGAGTTCTCCTGGTGGCTTCATTTTCTTTCACCCTTTCCACTATTTTCTGTCAGAATTAGAAGGTGTAAAACCCAATGCCATTGAATCGATTCTGACTTATAGCGACCCTATAGGACAGAGTAGAACTGTCCTGTAGGGTTTCCACAGCTGTAAATCTTTACGGAAGCGACTGCCTCATCTTTCTCCAGTGCAGCGGCTGGTGGGTTCGAACTGCTAACCTTTTGGTTAGCAGCCAAACGCCTTAACCACACCACCACCAGATGCTTAGCCCTTCTATTTTGCAGTTGAAGCTAGAAGCTTTTCTCTGTCACCTATGCAAGTTACAGACTCAAATAACCAAAAATTTATCTTGTGTTTCATCACTGTTAACTGACTTACTTCACATAAAATACGTTCATTCATTATTGGTTAACACATGTCCATACTTCACAGCTCATTTAAATAGGTGACATGGTCAACTCTTATTTATTTGCAAACGTATTATCTATTTTGTACAATGGGCTCAAACAGCAATAATTATGAAGATGTCACAGGACCTAGTAATGTTTCATTCTGTTATACATAATAAGGTTACTGTGAGTCAGAATCACTCAAAGGCACCTAACAACCACAGATTATCCAGAGTTTACAATTTTAACTAGATAATGTCTTGCCAACAAGCTAGATTTTTAGTGGTAAACCAATTATGTACCCCAGTGGACTGATATTAAATAAATAAGAATGCAAATATATGAAAGAAAAATACAGTTCATAGTTCAGTAGAAATTGGTATAAGTTGAATTAATGAATTTTACAATTATATATATCAAGTCTGAGTTTCATAGAGTACTTGGTAGGACATTTTGTATAATTTTAAGTAAGTATAGTAGGTAATATTAAAAAATGACGCGTTTGATCATTGATATAAGAAGGAAGAATTACTTTGTCAGGAACTGCTAACATGACTACACTAGTG